CCAGCCGTTAAACGATTCAGGGGTTCCCCTCCCCCCACCCCGCAGCCCCGTACCCGTTGGGGTTCTCTCCACCTCCTCCACTCTCTGGAAGAAAAATTGGAGAAGAAAGTTTTTCTCCGCGTCCCGCCCCCGCCCCCTGCTCCAGCTGTGGGGGGAAAGGCTGGATCTGAGACTTTTCCTTTTTTAGCTGCCCGGGGTGGGAGAGGGGAGTCCTCACTTCCCAGGGGGGAGGAGGGGCATCATTTTGGTGCTTTGCGGGGGAAGGTGCCTATCCGCCTTGGGGCAGTGCCGCAAAGCATTTTGCACGTGGAGGTGGAAATATTGAAAGGGGGCGGGGTGGGCACGTGCGGGAGGGAGAGGTGGGAGTGGTGTTTGGGAAGCAGCTTCCAAGACTGCTTACTGTAAAGGGTTCCAAGTCGGTGGGCTTCTGTGACCATTACGTTCTCTTTTGTGAAATAAGAATCCTAACATTTCAGAGTCGGAAGAGACATTAGAGGTCACCCAAAGCAGCCGTTCCCTCTGCAGCCTCTCTGACAAGTGGTAGGTAGTCTGGCCTCTGCTTAAACCCCTACAAACACTTAGTGCTCACTACTGCCCAGGAAAACCCCTTCCGTTTTTCAGTAGTTCTAATTGTTGCCTGCCTACCCTCATTAGACCCTTCAGTCTCATTCATGTCCTGGTTAAGTTGCTCCTTTTTTTACTTCTCAAATTTTTTCTCACATCCTCCTCACCCACCCACTGCTCATTGGCCTATATTTTGTGTGCCAGGAAAGAACAGCAGGGAAGTGGAGGAAGGAGGGTTTAAGAGATAGTGAGGGCCAGCTGAAAACTTTGCTCGGTCGGTGTTAACTGTGCTGGCTTACATATCTGAAGATGATTGATATTTTTCTACAGGAAATTAAAGAATTTCAATCTGAGGATTTCATAACTGTTTTCTCTCACTAGTACATCTTTGAAGTTAGAAATAGCAGCATTATCTCTATAGTTCTTCTATCACAAAACATATTTACTTGTTACCTAAATCACTTTTCCTAAGGTTACCTAAAATTGCCTCCTGGAGCTAATACTGAAGCTGTTAGAAGCATCACCTGGTAGAGGAATGATCAGAACTGCCTCCCTCTCATCCACTTGACCTGTGTTCCTTGCAAGCTGATCTTTTCTCTAAGGACCTTTCTTCCAAATGCTTTTTTTAATTTATTTTTAACAACTCTGTCTTTTATGAGATTTGAAATTCATGCAGCATTTTAATACTTGTTTAGAGTTTACGGTAATTTTAATACTCTTTATATTAGTATACACCAGGACTTATCACTTGATAATTGAGATAGTTCCTTTGAAACTTGTCACTCAGTGTTTTTCTAATGGTCTTCAAGCTGGGTGCAGTGGCACACGCGTTAAAAAAAAAAAAAAAAAAAAGAAATATTCTCCTTCATTGTGTGAACTATGCTGTCTCCAAAAGTAGCTTCACTAGTATAAGAATCTTGGGGACACATGTTTTCTTTCTATTATGGTCAAGTGGGGGTCTAGACATAATGTAAACTGTAGAAGTAATTCATATGGTCTAAAAGCAGGCAAATTTTCACCTTGAGCCACCAGTTTCCTGTTTTAAAGATTAGCCCAGATTTTTTTTTCCTCATTCTTTTATGACTTACTTAAGAGACTATTGCTTTGCTCTTGTATGGTTAGGCTGTTATTTTTGTTTGTTTACCTCACACCAAAGGGTGTTTAGAAAGAAAATAGCTGTCTTTTTTGGCACCACCTTCTTCGCTGAATAACAAGTTGCTTCTATTTATATAGAACCCCATACTCAAGACTTGTGGGTACCTTGCAAATTATGGCAACATCTGTCTTGAATAAGCATCTGTTCACCATGTCTTATGTTGGGCCATGTTTTTTAACCATCTAGTTTTTAACCTTATGTAAACATAAAAGGCCGGGTATGATGGCTCACTCCTGTAATCCCAGCACTTTGGAGATGGAGGTGAGAGGATTGCCTGAGCCCAGGAGTTCAAGATCAGTCTGGGCAACTTGGTGAGACCTTGTCTCTATAGTAAATCAAAAACTTAGCCAGGCATGGTGGCACGTGCCTCTAGTTCCAGCTACTTGGAAGGTTGAGGCAGAAGAATTGCCTTAGCTTTGAAGGTCAAGGCAGCGGTAGCCTGATTGTGCCACTGTACTCCAGCTTGGAGGCAGAGTTAAACTCTGACTCAAAAAAAAAAAAAATTCCTCTAAATCTATTCACTAGAATTCAACATGGAATTGATTAATAGATTGTGGAAAAAATTAGTAGAACTGGATAAATTGTGTCTTTAGCATTTTAGTTAATATGGAGTTCCAGGTTTTCCTGCTTGCTTAAAACATGAACTGTTATGACTTAAGTTGACTGACTTGGGAGACATTTGCATTCTAAACATACTAGACAGGAACAACTGGTTTTATTTTTAAAGAACACACTACTATATTTTTTTATGGCTGGTTATATGTTGACTTTATTATCTGAACCTTTCTAGATGTTCAGATGCTTCTTTTAGTCCCTCAATTATGTTGAGAATTAAAGTGAAACAATAATTTTAAATTGTTTTAAAACATAAAGTAGTGGTAAAAGGAAGGCAAAACTATAGAAGTGAAAACAACATATTATAAATATCTAAATTCTATAAATATCATAACTACTAAACCAGTTACTAAAAGCCAAGAGTGCTCAGTGGTCGGAATTTCCACATTCTAAAATTAAACAAGTCACAGTCTTTGGATTGCTCCTTGATTCTCAATTTTTCTTTAAAATGTTGGCTGAATAAGATTTGACCTTTCACACTTAAAATTTTAAGGTAGGCCAATTCATATGTGTATCTTTAGTCTCAGGGTTTTGTGAGCTCTGGACAAAGTCGACAAACTGGCTAGGCTTCAGCTCTGACTCTGCCACCTCCTGATCTGTGATCTGAGGCAAGTTGCTCAAGCAACTGTGGGGTGAGCACCAGCCCTGCCTCCCTCCCAAAGTTTCTGAAAACCACTTCTCAGAAGTCATGACCACTGTTTACAAAACTATAAGGTGCTATGAAAGATGATTAAAATGTTAAGGTACCTTCCCAGAATTCCCTTCTTTTTTTCTTTTCACTGTATTACCTAATTTCTACTCCTGTTATACAGTTGGTTGTGTACAGTACTTTATTTACACAGTCTAGTTGTAGGATGAGATGGTAAATCTTAACACTTTGTGTATTTCTGGTGCTTAGCATAATGATTTGTATATATTGCTTAATAAATATTGATTGATATCATCTATCGCTTTACTTTTAGATTTCAAAATTTTAATTCACTAGTCACAGATGATTTTATACACCAGAAAACAATCCCCGTTATGTACGTATGTGTGTTTAACTCAATTTGAATTGTTTCGTTATTAACACCCTATTGGTACTATTGTTCAGTGATTACATAACTTTTGAGCAACCAGCTCCAAATATGTTTTTAAAAGATAAACACCAAGAGAATGTCATAATTTTACATCAGATGTTTTAGGCTGTGTCAAATCAATATGATGCCAAATTACCCATTTAACTTCTCTGTATTAGCATGTTAATAAATGATCTTGTTTAATTGCTCAAACCACGGGTGCACTACAGACCCAGGCTTAGTATGAATTCTGTTATTTGGGATAGAAATGATAGCTGATAATGATCTCAAAGACCCACTAGGCCGCTGTGTTTTAGACTTAATTTTGATATGGTCATCTTATTTTTAATTAGCTTTTCAGGTTCATACTTAAGGATTCATAGCTTTCTTCTGAAGAACTGAAAGTCCATTCATGTGAATTATTTTATTTTATCATACATCCTTCCTGTGTGGTAAGTGATGTTTTCCTTATTTAGAGGAGAGAGAAACTGAGGTGCAATTAGTTGTTAGATCCAAAGTCATAAAGTGATAGAACCAGAAGTTGAACCCAAAGAGGTAGGAATTTATGTTTCTTACAGATCACAGGATAGCATTCTTTTGCTCACTGTTACTTTAAATCTTAGAATACTATATAGAATATTGTCATCTCCTGTTGTGCTCCTCGGTACTCTTCAGTATCTTTAGGTGCGTTATTCAGACTATTGCTTTCTGTTTTCCCTGATTGTATCATTGACATGAATTTATTCTTGCTTTCACACTGAAGTTGTGGGAAACAAAAACTCAATAATCACAAAACCTTACCATTTATTCTTCACATAACTGTTAGCTTAAAAAGAATGAAGGTGCTTTTGTTTACACTAATGAATTTTATCCCTGTTTCAGACTCTTTTCCATCCTGGTGGTAGTAGAGTGAGGAAAGGGCCTGCAGGAGCTAAATAGCTCTCTGGCTCCTACTAAGTTCAGTTATCATATAGTATATATTAATTTCTATTTTAAACTTTGTGAGCTCATGCATGCAACATTCAAGTAAGATTTAAAATTTAAGATTTCATTACCAAATATAAAAATTTTGAAAATTATGGGGGCTACTGCTCCAATTGGTTTGAATAAAGAGTTGATTAGCTTCTCATGAATTTATTCATATTGAAATTATATTATTACTTGGTTATATATTTATTGGCATCTGCATTTAGATTGTCAAATATTTTCTGTAATTTCTCCTAGAGAAGTTTACAGTTTTATTGGAACTTTTGGTTGGTTATAGCAGTTAAGTTAATGACATGCCTTTTAATGTTTTGGTAGATTTCATAGGAAGGTTTAGGTGACAATTATGGTGAGAAATGAAGTTCTACTGTGATTTGTGATCCCTTACATTTTATCACTATAAAAACCTTTAAACCTTTTGTCTTATTTTTCATCATAGAAAAATATTTGCTATTTTAAAAAAGAAAAA